ACTGGAGAGGTGTGGATTACTTGTGGATTATTGTGATGTTTTTATCAGCTGTTTGGACTCTCATTCTGACGGCACCCATTCACTGCAGAGCATCCATTGGTGAGCAAGTGATGTAATGCTACATTTCTCCAAATCTGTTCTGTCTGATGAAGAAACTCATCTTGGATGGTCTGAGAGTGAGTCAGATTTTGGGTGAACTATTCCTTCAATTCATGTTACTTTTTCAATTTAACTTTCATCATCATATGCTGATATAATTTGTAATGAAAATGTTGTATTAAACAAAATTTAAAAATATATATAAATGCAAACTAGAAGCATTTTCACTAGTGGTCTTATGTATTAATATCTGATAACTTCACTGTACCATGGAGCAGTAGTTTGTTTATGTTATCATAGTAACCATTTATAAAGTTCCAGCACACTCCTCCGAACTGTGAGTCATGTATTTAATCTATGTTGATTATGACTCTTGTCTAACTGCCATCTTACTCTTCTCTGTCACAGTGTGAGTGTGCAGTCAGCATGGCAGAAGCGCATCAGGCGGTGGCCTTCCAGTTCACCGTCACTCCTGATGGCATCGACCTGCACCTCTGTCACGAGGCCCTGCGCCAGGTCTACTTGTCTGGCCTCCACTCCTGGAAGAAGAGGTTCATCAGGTTCAAGGTGACCATCACAGCTGTCCTCCTTATCCAACTGATTAATTACTGCACATGAGTAACATTATCTAATTAGACCTGAGTGTCACTTTGAAATATCAATGTTTAATTGAATTTTTCAGGATAGTTTGTTCTCTGGAAATGATTGCAAAGGCCATTTTAATAAAACTGTAAAGTTTATTAAAATATTAATTCTAATTAATTCTAATAAAAAAGCTATTCATCTATTCTAGTCTGTTCTGTTCTGTTCTGTTTACATTTGTTTAATATGATATTATGTTGTGTTTCTGTAGAATGGTGTCATGACTGGGGTTTATCCAGGAAGTCCCTCAGGCCTGCTGGTTGTTTTGGTGGGTTACATGTCCACAACCAAATATGCCAAAATAGACCCTTCCCTTGGGATGTTCACTAAACTTTCTAAACACCTACCAATCAGGTAAACCACCAAAGAACGGTCACCTGTTTGTCATTAGTTATTAGCGATTTATTAGGATACATTTGGAAGATAAATAAGTCAATATGCCATTTCTTCTGTGGTGAAAATTACCATAATTTAATGTGATGTAATCTTGTTAATAGGAAAAGTATAGCTGTTCGAAATTCAGAGTCTCATGCTAACACAAAGGTCTGATTCTTTGCTTTGTAGATTTAACTACAGTTTTTTGTTTGTTTGTTTGTTTTTGTTTTGTTAAAAAGTATAGCTGTCTAAAGTCCAAAGACATTCAAACACAAAGGTCTGATTCTTTGTGTTGTAGAAAACACAAAAGCTCAATAATCAGATGTTTCTGTTTGTAGTTCTTTTAATCTATTATCTTCAAAACAGATTACAATGTTATACAATAAATGTTTTTATTACTATATCACACGCAGTTCACCAGCTTATTTTATGAG